CGCAAAACGTTTCATGTGTGAAAATTGCAGAATTCATCCCAGAAATTGCGAATGGAGAAATACACACACACGGATACGCCGTGTGCGCCATGTTGTTTCATAATTATAAGTTAAATACGACAGTTTTATATAAAAATCAAAAAATCAACTAGTAAATCAAATGTAAGCGAGCGAGCGCACGCCTGGCAATTAAGTGGCCAGCAAACGTAACACACGATGGTGCTGCTGCCTGTTGGCTGCTGGCTGCTGGTGCGCTTGGCCAAGCACGTCGCCATCGACAGCAGCGAGAGACAGGGAGAGTGGAGAGTGGAGAGCGTCAGCTCTCGGGACTGCGGACTGGGGACTGCGGACTGGGGACCGGGGACCCAGCCAAGCTGCAGCCAAGCGAACTGTCAATTATAACCAATCGCGCACCAAGTGCACATTAAACCCTATCAACTGTTTCCGTAATTTATTGTTTGGCTTGGGGTATTTTTTCTCTCTGGCCTGGCTTGGGTTCTTCTTGTTTCCACAGCTTGCAACTTGCAGTGCGAGATCCGCATTGCATGGACAGCACAGTGGGTCAAGGGCGGGCGGGCATTAGCAGACACTAATGAGCTCGGGAAGTGGCGGGGCAACAAGTCATAGAAGTCAAAGGAAACTGAAACATTTTCTCTAAAAATGTTTCCATTTGTTCTGCTTCGACACATGCAAAGCGCTTCCAGTGTGCTCCACCCCTGAGCCTAGACTTGCGACGATCTCTTCTCATCATAATTATTGCTGCAACGTGGCAGGGATCTGCGATCTAGTGATCTAGAGAGCGGGTTGGCGGCAATCCAATCTGGTTAGCTGTGCAGAGGCAATCTGGGAGGTAGCCAGCGCAAATCTGACAGAGTCAAATGAGCAGTTTATGGCCAGATACGCAACGCAACGCGACGACGACGACCATTTGAAGACGCGCCAAAGGAGCCTGCGAGAGATGCGAGGAGATGCCTGTCTATATAGCATCGCCATCGCCACTCGGGGGCAACATTCACTTTTTTTATTGCACCACTTTGGCAATAGGCACAAGTGTGATTTCGAATCTCTGGGTCGCCTGTTGCTTGCACCGTCTGATGGTTGCCACAGTTGAACCGTTGCACCGTTGCTGCTGCTGCTGCTGCTGCTGCTGCTAAATTGGCAGAAATATGAAGTCAGCGTGTGCATTTTGGTAAAAGTGGTGATTACACACACACACACACACACACACACACACACACACTGAGACATAGGGAAGGAAACATTCACTGGCACTGGGAGAATGGAATGGCCGTTTGGGGAGACGAGAAAATATATGACAAGACAGCGGAGAGTTGCCACATAATGCGCATTAGCATACAGCCCGTACAGTCCATACAGTTTAGAGCGGACTCTAGCCATAAGCCACTACCGGCTACCCATCCAGCCTACCAGCCTACCAGCCCACCACCCTGCCCTTGTCCACCCTTCCTCTTTCCCCTGCCATTTCCAGGCAATTGCAAATGGGCCACAGAAACAGAAACAGAAAGACTCAACCAAAAGCTACAACTGCACTGTGGGCTGACGTTGATGGCCAGTTCAATTAAATGCCATCAATTTTAATAACGCGCTCGGACCTGGTCTGGGCCAAGTTAACGGAGCTCAACCTGAAGCCCCTCTCTTGGTTGTGTGTTTGCTACCTTGGGCGACCTGTAGCTTGGGCTGCCTGGGTGCTGGGGAAACAAAACGCTTGCTGGCATGGAAATTACAAATGCATCAACAGAGGGAGAGCGGGAGAGACCCTGCCTGGCACACATGTGTAGACAGTCGCAACGCACTCGAAGCACTTGAGGCTAAGAAACAAGCAGCAGACCGACCAACTTCACTTCACAGCCAAAGCAAAGGCAGAGTCACAGATCTCTGGTCAGCTCCGACTGGGTTTTGTGGCCCTCGGTCATATATAGTTGCAGGCTTGACAAAGCACTTAGGCCTGGGTCACTTGTACAACAGTTCGCCTTTTTCCTCGTTCCCCTCTTTCTTTCTTTCATTTCGCTGCTTTGTCTTTGGCTCGGACGTCAGAGACGGCGACGGGGCGCAGCAGCAAGTGAGAATTGAATGTGCTAAGCAGGTAAAACCAAGAGGGGGGGAGCTCTGGTGATGATGGCAGGGGGGGTTTATAAATAAATAAATTATGAATACCACTCACCCTGTAGCTTATAATTTCGCAAAGATTTCACACACTTCAACTCACATTAGCCGCGAGGCGAGGCTGGAGAGCAGAGCAGCTGAAAATGAAAGAAAATTCATCGTAAATCAAAGGAGAATCGGTTCCTAGGAGTCTAAGTTTACGTGCGAGAATTAAGCAGTTGACAAAACAGAGCCCTTAGCGAGAGAGCAACAAATAAAGCTACAAATTCCACTTATATTTACTGTTATTAACGCGCAAGGTTAGGCACATTTTTAAGCACTAGTTTTTGTCATAATCATAGTTAGGGGCATCGAGAAACTCCTCCCTTGCAAACGCACTCAACCAGCAAAGAGTCTCAGATGAGGAGCTGCAATTTGTTCTGCCCAGACCTTCGTGGCAATGATCGATGCAGCTCAATGGCGACTATCAATTGGCGATTGCCAAACGAAAGCAAACAAACATTAAGCAGCACTGAAGAGTGAACAAATGCAAAAACCAACTAAAGAGCAGAGTAAGAAACAAATGCTGGCATGGTTGTGCGGCGACCCAAGACAAGTGGCCACCAAGTGGCAAAGTGGAGTGGAGTGGAGCCCAGAAGCGAGAATTGAGCAAACTTTTATATGACTTTGGTCGCCGCAGTACAGCACCCTTCCGAGGAGATAGTCAAAAAGTGGCAGAGGTAGAGGGAAGGCTGGCAGGCAGGCAGCTGCTGCTGCTGCTGCTGCTGCTGCTGCTGCCGCAATTGATGTTGATGTCGCGGGCGCCAAAATCGACACACTTGTCCCGAGTCTTGGGTGCCACAGTGCAACTGCAACTGCAACTGCAACTGGCAGTCGTCGTCTGGTTGAAGTACAGGTTAAATGGATCACGACTGCACGGATTCGCTGTCCGTCGGTCCGTCGGTCCGTCTTGGCTGTCTGTCGGCCATAAAATACGCGACATGCAAACGTTTTTGATGCAATGAGGCGGCCAAACGAAATTAGGAAATTGTGTACAAAAAAAAAAAAAAAACAGAAACAAACTCCTAACTGACAAGGCAAAGTGTTCCACACGGAGAGATCCTCAGTGGGTATAGACGGGGCAGACCTGGCCCGGGCATCCCGTTCAGTCGATGGTTCATTTACGAGTCTCATTAGGCATTTGCGGCCATAAAGTTGCTCTCCCGCCGCCAGAGCCACCAACCATTTTGGCCATTTTGTTAACCGAATCTCAATTGGTTTTTCTTTCCCATTTCCCCCCCACCATTCTCCTCCATTCTCCTCCATTCTTCATTGCAGCGAGCACTTCGCATGGGAGCAGCGGCAGCAGTGGCAGTGGCAGCGGCAGTTGTAAATCCTCATCGACCACCAAAGCAGTCCATGGCAGCAGCAGCAGCAGCAGCAGCAGCATCAACTACAGCAATGGCAAACAGACTGGATCATCCTCATCCGCGTCCAGCTATGCGGCCGGTGCCTCGTCGTTGGGGGCCTTTGGCCGTCAGCATCAGCATCAGCAGCCCACTCAGCAACAACTTTATGCCTCCGGTGTGTCCAAGTTGCCATTCTCGCCATTCTTTGCCGCATCGCCGTTCTTCTTCACCTACCGCCGGATTAGCGGTGGAGCTGGCGCCGGTGCTGGTGCTGGTGCTGGTGCTGGTGCCGGAAGCGGCAAGCAGGAGGACAACAACAACAGCTGCAGCTACAACAATGGCAGCAGCGGCGGCAGCAGCAACAACTCATCCTCGCTCATGCAGGACTACGACCGCAAGTTCAGCCTGTTGAGCCTCTTCAAGAATCCGTACAAGTTCAGCGATGGGCAAACGGCGCGAAAGACCTCACCGACGGGCGGCAGTGGCAGCAAGTCGGCGGTGGGTGCCACCGCCTGCTCCTCCTCATCCTCCGCCGCCAGCTGGAAGAGCTACGCGGGCTCGGGGTCACCGCACGCTGCCCTCAATCCGGCCTTTGGTGGCATGGCTCTGGGCGCCACACGCAAGGACAACAGCAGCTTCAGCGGCATCAATTTTGGCAGCGGAGCATCCTCCTTTGCTCGGTCCACCTGCTCCGATGCGACGGCCAATGGCGGCGGCTACAATGATCTCTCCAAGAACCGCAAGGTACACAAATGCGACACCGAAGGCTGCGACAAGGTCTACACCAAAAGCTCGCACCTCAAGGCGCACAAGCGAACGCATACGGGTGAGTGGCGAAAGGAATGGGTTCCGGATTCTATTGCTGATTCTGTGCATACATTTTGCAGGTGAGAAGCCGTATGTGTGCACCTGGGAGGGCTGCATCTGGCGCTTTGCCCGCTCCGATGAGCTGACCCGACACTACCGCAAGCACACGGGCGTAAAGCCGTTCCGCTGTCAGCTGTGCACGCGGAGCTTCAGCCGCTCCGATCATCTGTCGCTGCACATGCGCCGACACTGAGCAGCAGGAGGAGCAGCGGAGGACTGTGAGGACTGTGACTGCCGATCTGGCCATACATACACAAACATATCTACATATCTATATAGACGCCGAGAATACTCATCGAAGATGCTGACTACTCGCTCTTGACTACTCGTATTTATATTCTTCCCATTCATTGTTCATGCATTGAGACCAGATTTTCACATATATTAACTTAAGTAATTGCCTAAGTAGCTCAATTTAGTGTTAGGCGGGCTCAAAGCCTCAATCTACTTATAGGCTATCCATAGTGCTAGAGCTGAAGAATTTGTAAAATTCGTTCACACATTTCGCAGAAAGAGAACAAAACGCCCAGAGACAATTGCCTTCAGAAGCCAAGTTACGAATGGATTTAAACAAAACCTACTAATCGTACATTAAACATTATATACTCGTAGCAGCTATATACATATACATACAGTTTATATACATACATACATTATATATTTGTAGTACAGTTAGTTTTTTTGGATTGGTGCTAGCAACTTGCGTGTATATATATACATTCATACACTTACATTTCTACTCTGTTAAGACAAATTTTAACTAATTTTAGATGACATTTTTTATTGGTTATTAAGTAGAAAATTTTATACGAAAACGACACAAAAGAGGCACAAAAAAAAAACCAGAAGAAACAGCAGAAGCAGAAGCCAAGCAAAGCAAAGCAATATTCTAATTTATATAAATAGAAATTCTCTCATTTATAGGATACATTATATACATTTTGTACTATACGCATATGATATACGATAGTTAATGGACAAGAACAAAGCTCTGAGGTGGATAGCTAATGGTGGATGGAAGGGTGGAGCAGATGCAGGGATGCAGATACATTCCTTGCTAAACTATTTCGTAGACCCATGCATTACAAACTTATTGTTAGATTCAAGAACGCTTCTTTTGGCATCAACTTTTGTATATCTCTTCTACACTCTAGACTTATTGAACGCACTGTATTCCCTGGCTAAAAGCAGCAGCTTTCTGCATGCCGCATACCCAACTGTCATCATAGATTTAGCTCCACACACGCACACACAAAAGCAAAACAAATTGTATTATTTTTTGTAATAAAAGAAAAGCAAATACGTTCTTGTTTTTTTTTTTTTTTCGTTTTTTTCGTTTTTGTGTCGTACCCATGTGCAGACATACGGCGGACACTGTGCTCATTACGGGGGTCTGTGGCCAAGTCCGTTGTGGATTTTCATTTGAATGAAAAATCAATTGAGCTCACAATGGGGCTATGGCTGTGGCTCCCTCCTCCTACTCCTCCAACTACTACACTGATCCGATCCGGTGGCGGCGGCTCCCCAAAGATGTGTGGCAAGTTGTCAGCGACTACTGCCTGCGCTACTGCTGCTGCTGCTGCTGGGGCCTTTGTGTGCGGCGTGGCACGCACTCCCCGGCAATTGTCCAGGGGAGCATTGTCGTCGTCGTCGTCGTCGTCGTTTGTCGTTTGTCGTTTGTCGTCGCTGTGCAACGCAGAGCCGCAGAGCATTGCGCGCGTTGTTTGCAATAATAAAGATGACAAATTTCTCGTCATTTGTAATTTCAATGCGAAACGGGGCAGGGGCAGGGAGCTGGACTATAGCTGTAGCTGTAGCAACTACCCGTCAGTAGCCAAGACTGGCTAAAAGCTGAAGCTTCAGAGCTGGCTAATACGCATAACTGGTTGCTCCAGCGACAGCAGCCAAGATCGGGATTGGATGACACCTGCAGCGGAAATCAGTGCATGAATAACGCTTTCGGTCATTAGGGCACAATTGTGAAATATTACGTATACGCCAGGCCAATTTATTAATAAATTAATAACCAAATGCATGGATACAGACATATGTATGTACATCCAAGCAGACAGTAGCCAAACGGCTGCCGTTTGGCTGCGTCTTGGGCCCTGCCGTCAGCGAATTTAGCATAAAGGTTAAACAAATACAGCCGACCGGTTTTTTGGATTAATTAATATGCCTTGGGTCAGGTCAATATTGCGTCGAGGCTGCCCACTGGCACTATCACTGAAAGTAGGAGGAGTAGCGGCTGTAGATCCGAGGATGGTCAGCGATAATGGTCGTTAGGCTGGGTAGGAGAGAGGAGAGGTCAGGTTTAATGACCCAAACGGGATGCAAATGAGTAAAAGTAAATAAAGTGAGAAGTTGCGTTAATTAAGACTGATCGACGTGATGAATGCCCTGCAGCAGCTCTGCCAGTTGGTAAATCGTTTTGTGAGCTAATCCAGGGGGGAATCACATCAATAAAGCCAAGAAATGAATGAAAAGCAAAGCCGCCATGGAACCGCATATACCCAACCCAACCACACATGGAATGTAGCCACAAAATACATTTAGATAAACATTCAAAATCACAGCGCAACTCATTAAAAACCAATAAAGTCGCTGGCCGATGCTTTGCCAAACGAACCAAAATCTCTTTTCAGTCCATCAATGAGTCGGCTAGATCGGGGTGGGCAGCCGTAGCTAAAGGATCGTGCATAGAGGAGTCGCTGCTGCTGCTGTCGGCAGCTGTCCATCACACAGAAGAGTGCTCCAATAACCAAATCGAAGAGCGTCCAAGTCCACGATGCCCAGCCGAAATTGAAGGAGTTTCTTGCAGTTTTTTAGAGTCTGCGGCACACATGAAGTCCGAGTTTGAGAGTCTACAGCCACAGCCACATCGGCATCGGCATCGGCATCGGCATCGACATCCATTTTTAATTTATTGTTATGCCTTTCTGCTGCCGCTGCATTTTGCCGCTGTTTCTGTTGCAGTTGCAGTTGCAGTTTCTGGCTGCCGCTGCCGCTGCCGCTGCTGCTGCTGGTCGTCAGGTCATGTGCAATTTATGAAACGGCTTTGCATTGGCCGCGGCCTGATTTTTGAGACACATTTGGATGACTGTCGCAACGGAGTCGGCAGAGGCAGAGGCAGGCTGCGGGTCTCTGAGGCTGCTGCCTCTCTGTGGCTTCTGTCCATTTGATTTGTGATCGATTGTGTGTCGTTAGTTTGCGACATGGGGCATGAAATCTTTGACACCTAACGGTAAACAGACGGACAACGGACAACGGACGACGACAGACGGCACTGTGCCTCAGAGAGCGGGACCTCGGTTCGGATCACAGCAGTGGGTGCCCCATCCACACAGCCCCTTTCATCCTTGTCCTCGGCATCAAATTGGAACGAATGGAAGGAGCCGCTTCGCTTCGCGTCGCACTGCAAGTTGTCAGCGGGCCAAAGTGTTTGGCAGTTTTGCCATTTATTTTACAGGTGAGTGAGCATAATGGACAGCGGCCCGTCTCTTGCAACTTGGCCCGTTGCAAGCAGATAGATGGGGCCAAGCGGCTGCTGCCTGCCACTGTTGCCACTGCGATACATGCTGTGCGCTTTGGCTCAATTAAAAATGGAATCGTCTATAGAGGAGGTCGCTCGTATGCTCGAACGCTCGGTCGCCTCATTTGACAATTGCCGGATCCCAAATAGAGGCAAATAGCCATACGAGTGCGCGTACCCACATCTAGCAGCTAGCAGCTAGCAGCTAGCATCGCCCATCTAGCATCCATATGCCATCTCTCTCTCTCTCTCTCTCCTATGTGGCTGTCGCTCATGCCAGTACCATGTTTAATTTTGTTAAGCAAAAATGCTGGAAATTAAAATTCCCATCACACCATAAAACCCATAAATCATCTTTTATCTAAGCGAGTCTATCGGCGCATGCGAGCGCGCGCCAACTTCGGTTCGGTTCGGGGTTCGGGTTCGTTCAGGAAAAACCACAGCAAAAACAAAGAACCCATAGAAAAGCCTTCACTGTGTGTGTGTGTGGAAAATGATGCTGCTGCCGGGACACATTGGGGGAACCTGCTTGCGCCTCTCCTGCCTTAATGAGAATTTAATATTTTTCAATAAAAATTTGTAAAAGGCGCGTTAGCTGCTTGTCCAGGACTCCGCTTAGGAGCAGAGGCAGGCAGCCGAGGCGGTGTTTTGGCCATGTGTGTCTTGGCTATTAACGCACTTTGTCTGTGGCCAACGGCCATGGCCAGCGTGGCCAAGACTGGGGCCACGACTATGCCTTGATTGTTGCTGCAGTGGCGTCGAACCCGATACTTGCCCCATGAAGACTTTGAGCCTGGTTTGTGTTGCCTGTTTGCTACCCCATCGTATCGATTTTGGCCACGTCTATGGGCCATCGTGGGGCCTTCCTCTGTTTGTTTTCTTTATTGCCTCGAGTTGTTATTGTCTTCTCTGGGGTCTTCTTGCTTCTTTCTTTGGCCTAGACTTCAACGCAGCTCTCTGCTTCCAATTCATATCACAAATCGTAGTCTTGTTTCGATCTCTGCCTCAATCGAGGCAGGCTCTCCCGTGTGCTGCGATCCCTGCTTCAGTCTCTGCCTGGAACCCTTCCTTCTTCTGTCACAATTTTCTTTGGCCTTAAAGCACACATTGCATACAAAATTGCCAGCTGAAGTTCAACTTGAAAACAAAACCAGCAGCAGCAGCAGCAGCAGCAGCAGCAGCGAAGAAGGGCAACAAGGGGCAGGCGAGTCCAAGCCGGGACTCGGCCAAAAGTGTCAATTGTCAGTGGCTGTCGCCGTTTAGCCCGGTTGGCTGGGTCGCGTTGAGTCGGCCCTCTGGGTCTGTGTCTGTGGCTGGGCCTTAACCCAGCCCATCGTTGGCGGCGCGTGCAGACGGTGAGCCTGTTTTAATATGCCAACAATGACAATCAACTGTCACCTCTGGTGCGCCACATGTCTAGACTCTAGACTCTAGACTCTAGACGGAGACGGAGACTGCCACTGCAACTGCAACAGCGAGTGCGGCCAAAAGAAATTGCATGCAACCTGAGCAGCGGGTTGAACGCTGATTGCAGCTACAACAAATAAATATGTCATTTGGCTCATTATAAAGATAGCAAAAGACTCTCTCTGTCTACGGCCAGAACTTGCTACGTGCAACGAGCAACGAGCAGCATGCAGCATGCTGCATATGCGCCCCCAGAGCTGCCGCTGCTGCCGCCACTGCTGCTGCGTCACATTTAAACGTTTAATGATAATTTATGAATGTTGTTGTTTTTTATTGCAACAACAATGCCGTAAACCAATAAATCTTAAGGATCACATAAATCTTGGCGCTAACTGAGACGGCGGCAGCAGCAGCAACAGCAGCAACCAGAGCAACTTGTACTTGCAACTTGCCACAAGCTGAGGCAACCCGTTGACCAATTGGCCAAAGCCTTTATACCCTAATAACCGAATGCCGCAATTAACAAAAAGAACTGCATAAAGCCGGGCTAAGTGCCCTCGAGACACCCGTCACTATGCTGGAAAATGAGTGGAGATCCGGCGGATATAAAAGTATATTTTGCAGCTTTTAGGGGGAGGTTTAGGTGTAAACTAAAACTAAAGATGGAAGAATGGATCTGGTAGTTGGAAATGTACATTTCACAGCATAAACGTGGTTTATTTATAATGCTCTTCACATTCAAACTCATTCCCAATTAGCATGCAACTTTCCCACGCCAAGGAACCAGAGCACAGGGAGGCATCTGCAGTCGGGGTTACCCCATTGCGCTGAAGGATATAGACAATAATTTGGTTCACTTGATCAAACGGCGGGAGTTGCACTATTGACAGCTGCAAAACCTTGACGTGGCCTGAGCTCTGGTGGCGAGGTGCGTGATCTGATGTGTGCAGCGGTGCAGCGGTGCAGCGGTGCAGCGGTGGTGCACGGCAGCGAGCGCCGCAAAAGTGATGCAGTGGTGGTGCTTGCATCCCCCCATGGTGCCACCGGGTTTTGTGGTGCCTCTTCTAATGTGTTAATAGGAGCAGGGGATGGGGTGCACTGAACTGCCACAGAGATTGCTCAATTGTTTTTGCTTTTTAGAAAGGAAAGACCTCTCTGCGGTGTAGGCTAATTTTTTTGTGGTGGTTCCTGTTGTGGCGGCTGCCACTGCCACTGTTGTTGCTGCTGCTATTGGATTTAATTTAATTTTTGTGCTTTTCATGCTTCGTTAACATATTTTGCTTATAAGGATTTCCCGCGAGCAGCAAAAAGAAATCACAACTGATCAGTGAACATGCCGCCGGTGCGGCTGTGTGCGGCTGTGTGCCTGTGGCAGCGGCTTCATTGTTGCTGCAGGTGCATGTTGCCTCAACAATGCCATAAATTGTGACATTGCTTTTTGCTCACCCTCCCCCTCGCACTCTCTCTCTCTCTCTCTGTGTATCCACCCTCCTTCATCCACTGAGAGAGAGATAGCCAGAGAGAGACTATGGCAAAAACTTCAACCTGGCTAATTCTTTTTTTGTAGTCCAGACATCAGCAGGCCAACAGCAGGGGCAGAGCAGAGCAAAAAAAAAACAGAGCTTAGAACGAGTTTTGGCATTTACGACTCACTCTGGGATCTCTTTACCCCTTTCCGCCCCATCGCACTCTCTGTCTCTGTCGGTGGCTGCCACAAGAGCCACAGTAGCCACAGCCACCGCCACCGCCACCGCTACCGCCACCGCCAGTGCTGTCGATACTTTTTTTGTTGTTGCTATTTGTTCTCCTCCTTGGATCGGATCTTGTCGCTTGCCGCTTGCCGCATTATGTTGCTGCTTAATTGGTTATAAATTAATTAAACGTCGATTAATAATCCGGCTTCTTGTCAGTTAAAACCGCCGTCCAACTCGGCGCTCGCCTGGCAGTAGGTTCTGGGCTTGGGAACAAGAACACATTGCTGCTGGCTGCAACAATAAGCCAAGCTAAAGCGTCTCGGACACAGCTCTGCCTCAGTACCGCACACAAACACACACACGCACACACATTGCCACGTGATGAGATGGCAATAATGAACTTGTTGTTGTCGCTAACATTTGCTGCCATGGCCTGAACTTTGTGTAGAAGCCAGAACAGCAGCAGAACTCATTAATGGTACTACACACACAGAGCTGAAGCTGGAGCTGGAGCTGGAGCTGGACCCAACGTTAGAGGTAGACCCCAAGGTAGACCTAGGCCCCGGGTATCAATGACCATTTGGGCGTTCGGTTCGGCTCCCCGTTCGGCCACTGCTGTCAGCCGCTTGTCAACGCCAGAGAGACAGACGGTGCCGCCGCCGTTGAGGAGGATGGCGAACCACAGAGACAAAAGGTTATGGGTTAAGGTCAAAAGTTAGAAGCGAAATATGAGAATATCCCATTGGGTAATTGGATAAATCATTGATTCCACATCTAAAGTGTGGGTAAATGTGTGGATTTAAGAGTAAATAAATAAATAATAATAATAAACGAGAAGCTTTTAGGCTTCTCACTTTCACACCCGGCACTCAATCATATGTAACCTACTCTTCCAGTGCCGGGTGTAAAAACAGTAAGAGTAAAGGTTTCTGCGCTCTCTTACCATTTGAGAGCATCATTTGATGCTCCCGCGCTCATGAAATGTTGACGAATTTGCGGGTACGACGGCGAAGCGCGCGAAGATTTTCGAAAAACCGATTTACGAAACGAAACGAAATTACACCTGCACTTTTCAATAAGATCACATTTTGGGTATATTAATATAAGGTGAGCCATAATAGGACTGAAACACTAACAAGAGAGAGAGCGAGACAGAGACCTCACCTCAACATGAAATGAGCCACTTGGTTCGAGAGAGCGTACCCGCTCCTTTCTTATTGCTTTTCTCCTTCTCTTCACTTTGGGTATTGAAGTGGGAAAGGGACACACAAACACACGTACACACATTGCCAGAGATCTCGTGACCGATCAAAAACAAAAGATTTCTGCATAGAATAATATGCTTAAGCATATTTTGTACATTAAATGTACAATAAACTTTTCACTTTCACTTATTGGATAATTTTTCCTCTGCCGCTCTGCCTTTGGGCTGCCATTTCGGCGCCGGCAAAAACCACTCTTGATCAGGAACTTTTTCTTTAAATTGTAGTATTACCTTACTGCATTGCACTACACAGTTGCGCGACAATTTTCCGGTAGTATTTTCCATTAACTTCCCGATTTTCGCGACCCGACACGCGTAGCTGACTTAAAACCGCGCGCTTTGTTCCGTCCGAAAAATTAAAAGTGAGAGAGCGGCGCAGATTCCACTGCGTAGGAGGCTTGGTTTCTAGAACATTCCCTGCTCTCTTTCTTATGCGCTCTCAGTTGACTTTTGTCTTCTTTCTCTCCTACTCCAAGGGAGTGTGCGTGTGACGAGTGACCACTAGCTAATGCAACGGTGAATGGCGGAAGGGGAAAGAGGGTAGAGGAAGTGGCGCAAAAACGAAAGTTCTTTTATGGGAGGAAAGGAACAGCAAATGCAGCAAGGTGAAGAAGGAAAAAAGGGGGAAGACAGAGGAAACCAATGTAGATGTGCGTTGCGCACATCAGTTCGACACAGTCTAAACAAATACCCCTTAACTCTTCGAGTGCCGAGCATAAAAGACCAAAACAAATTAATTATTCAGTGAACAAATCTAAACACGAACGGGGTAACTTTTATGGTAGCTGCACCACAAAACGAATGGCAAATGAATCATTTGCGCATAGTAAGGCGAATCATGGCATCTAAATAAATAATTAATGAAGACATTCATTCATTCGACATTTTGTTAAAAATCTTGTTAAATTAAATGTGGAAAAATTGCTATTATAATGGTATTGAATAATGAAGTAAGAGCATTTTATTTGGTTTTTCGCGATAGCTTAAGCTCTGCGCAAATAAATCTTATCCTCGTGATATTTACTTCCCATTTTTATGGGCACTTTCCTTTAACTTTCGATTCTGCAAAGTTCTTTGAAGGGCTCAATAATGCTAAGCCGTTACGGATGGTGGCTCGGTGGTTTTGGTACCACAAATCTTCCAATTTGTTTCCCCCAATTTGTGTTTTTGGCTTCTGCTTTATGCAGTTGTTGTGGCTTGGACATTTCAAATTGTTTCGAATCTGTTTCACTACTACAATTTGATGATTCATTTGCAGATCTATCATTTGCCTCCCACAATATCACTACATTCTCCTCCTTGTCTTCAGCTTCAGTCAAATTCCCTTCTGTTCTTTTCTGTTCCCCCGCAGGCACTCTCTAATCGGACAAATATTTGATTTGATTTCCCATACAGACTGAGACAGACACAGCGACTACGCTAGAGTGAGAGAGCATGCAAATATTTACACCAAATATTTGTCGTTGTTGTTGTAGTTTCAACACTTCTCTCTCCTCTCCAGCATCCAGCAACCAGCATCCAACATCCACATCCACTTAAAGCGACATCCAAGTGATGCCTTTTGTTGATCGAGTGCTTGCTACGCACTTCACTCTCTCTTGCCCCGCACCCCTTGGGCTACCACCTTCATCTGACCATCTCTTTCGCGCTCCATCAGGGCATCTCTTTCTCCCACATGGCCAGCAGGCAAGGCAGCGAACGGTGAACTGCTACAGATACGAGACACCACTCGTAGTATTCCAATGCTACTTTAACGCTCACGAAAATCATTTCTGGGTCTTCTTTTTTTTGTTGTATCTTTGGATATTTGTTGGTTGGGCAGTGGCGAGGCGATTAAATCACGGTCCAGCCCCAAATAAAAGAAGGCCACCGTAGATCTTGGCGTATCTGGGGCTGGGGTTTGGTTTGTCTTTTCCGTGTGTAGGCATCTCTCGAGTGGCGAATGCCTGAATGCCTCTTCAGGTGATTGTTTGGCCCCATAGACGGGGTCGCATAATGATCCAGAAATCGGTACGTTCTCACGTTTAGCGCCCCATCCGATCCCCAGTTTCGGACCAGGCCAACAAGTGCCTGCTGGCCACCACACACACACGCCACACACACACACACACACACAAGCCACACCATTGCGGGACTGCTGTAAAACGTCAAAATATACGAGCACAGAGCGATTTAAACTGTCAACGCGGCCGTAAACATTGCCAGTTGCCAGCGGTAGAGTCGTCGGAGCGGAGTCTGGAGTCTTTGCCAAAACTGGAACTATTCAGAGCTGATGCAGAGTGGCCAACAGGCAGCCAGGCTACTTGTTACCTCAAATTTGCTTATGAGCAAAAGCCCGAAACAGGCACGAACTCCCCTCCAACTTGGAGAGTCCAAGTCCAAGTCGAAGTAGAAGTCGTCGAAGTCTTAGCCTCCGTTTCGGCCTGCTCTAATGCGGCTCGTAAATCCTGGGCCAACAGAGGTTTGGGGTCCCCCAGTTTTGGCCTGATGAATGTTGTGATGCGGCCGAGGCGGCACTTGGCCAGATTTACGCCCCGCAATTAACGTTCTAATCGCCGCAATTTGTTACCTGCAAAACCTCTCGAAGCCGATAGATAATCAGCATCAACAACCTACAAGTCAATTCCGTGTGTCAACCGTTTCTGATATCACTAATGATGAGCAGACTTGGTATATCATTTGATTTGAGCTATGAAATTATCAATAGTACGAGTATCTCCATCTTTCTATTGGCTATTGCCGTCTATAGTCAGTGAATCAGCACTTCTGCTGAGATTGTGGAGCATAAGAAACACCAAGAGAGGGTGTAAAGGAAATATTTTGGTGCTGATCTTTCATTAGTTAATTGCTATGCATGTAATATAATAAAAGACTTGAAACCATCCAACCAGCTGCCATCCACGCACCACCCACCACCCGGCTGGTGTAAATTTGTTAAATTTACTTACATTCTACACGTGCAGAGTGGCGTTACCAGGCGGAGTTTAGCAGCAGTAGTCTTTAAATACATTTTACAATTTCCACACTGGCGCCTCAAGCGGAAAGATATGTTTTACTTGCATACACGCCAGCTCCAGTCAGTTAGCGCCTCAAATACAATTCAGCTCTTGTCAGGTTGCACCTGCAATGTACATAATGATATCGTTAAAGTCACATCTCTTGCCATATTCAAAATATTTACTTTATTTTGCATAGCAAACTTTGGGCAACTAAGTAAAGCTTTACACCGTTTATCACAAGACTCCTGGGCATGGCAGGCGGAAGACTATTTCAGGCACCCGATTTGGCATTGACTGTGAGCTGCTTGAAGTCACGATCGCTCAACAGCTGCCATTTGTAGCCCAAAATGTGGGAGATCTCCCGCTCCACGGACTCGTAGGAGCGCGAGTTGCGCCGCAGCCAGGCATGGAACTCATCGCTCCATTCCGGATGCCGTGGCCAGTCGCAGCGTAGAATCACCGCGAAGCGTCTCACATTCAAGTGTCGCAGATTCTTGGCCGTTCGTGCAATCAGCAGCAGCGTCGCTGTGGACACCTTCTCCCGTATGGTCTGTGGAGGAGAATGAGTTACCAAAGAGCAATGAGGATGGGACAGCGGGGTGAGCACTCACCAGAGTATCCAAGTTAAAGCACTGACGGCACATCAGCATCAGCAGGCCGTCGATGCGATTGTGGAACGGCTTGGGGCTGGAGAAGCGCGGCAGCAGCTCGTGCCCGTACACAGCCAGCGTGTTCTTGTAGTGATCGATCATGCGAACGAGCAGATCAGCCCTCACCCGTGCCTGTGGCGCCCAGTAGGTGATGCTGTGCACCGGCGCCTCTGGCTGCAGCACCACCTCCCCGTCCACGAGATTCTCCAGCCGCAGGTGCACGCGCATTCGCGGGTTTGTCGCCTTTAGGCTGCGCCAAGCCTTGACGCCACAGGAGCTGATGGTCAGGTGATTCGGCGTATAGCAGTTTTGCAGCAAGTACAGATGCCGCAGCTTTGTATCCGCCAGCAGCGACAGCACATCGTCGTCTATGTTTTGTGGAGAAATGGTGAGCACCTGCCCAGGGAAAGGAGTTGCATTTCAGTGCCAGAAAAGTACATAGGAGCGTGCAACCCACCTGCAGATTGAGAAACAATCCCACATGCATGATCGGACAGTGTGTGGTGGTGACATTCACCAGATTGAGCACCCGCATCTTGGTGCAGCAGCTGCAGACGACCTCGTCCAGCAAGTGATTCGCCTCGAAGCGTTCCAGCACAAAGTCCACCAGCTTCAGTGTGTGCAGATCCGTCAAGCGCAGCATCAACTCCTTCAGACCCTTTAGCAGCTGTCCTCCAGTGCCAAAGAGCTTGATGCCCTCCGGATCGTTGGGCTGTGACATGTTGCAGGGAAAATGATAGACCAGCGAACGTATGCGACGACCCATGCCCACAAGCTGCGGCTCGGCGTTCACTTCGTTGCCCTTAAAAGTTAACCAAAGGATTAGGCGAAAGTCTAGCAAGCTCTTGCTCGCTCTTTTCGCTCACTTTGTCCATGCTCCAGGAGAGCATTGTCATAAACTGGTAGATATTGTTGAAGCTATGCCACGGTCGAAACTCGATGCCGCGCAGGTGTCGGCCAATTCGCGACAGGCAGTTCTGCGTGCGCATGTGATCGAGGCAGTACTGCCAGCCGGAGTAGTAGTTGTATTTTGGTCGCGTCAGCGTGCGATCATCGACCACGAAGTTGTTCCAAACTGTTGGCAAATAGAACGCACGATGCCATTGACGGCAGACCTTGAAGGGCGCAGGAAAGAGATGTTAGCATTTGGGCTGTACGAGTGGGAGTGCGAGTCTACTCACCAGACCCGCGTAGTAGCGCTCTTTGGGCGAGAGATAGGTAAAGATTTCCTCGAGTATCAAGTCGGGCAGGTAGCACCACTTCGATTCGAGGCAGCTTTCAATATTGTCATTGTCCTCATCGACGTCTATGTAGCAGGCTGTAGGCATAATTGTTGTTTATTACTTATGTTGATAGCTTGAAAGGGAATGTCATATTACCCTGTTCGTTTTCATCAATCTTCCAGCCAGCTTTTTGCATCACATCCAGCTGGGTGCTGCCCTTGCGTGCTGCCACGCTCATGGCAAAGGACATTGCGCTTCCCTAACAATATTTATGAATTATTTATTGTCAATTTACAGCACACCACACTGCAGCAGGCCACAGATCACAGATCACTATATGTACTCTAATTTTGAATACTTTTTTGGCACAGGCCTGCTCGGTTTGGCTTTTTCTTATTTTGTTTCGTGGCGTTTATTTTTATATAGTTTAGAGATCGGTGTCGTCGTCGTTGTCGCGACCATCCGCAGCAGCTTGCGTCGTCGCGCCTGGCCAGCGACTGTCTCCCGATTACTCGTAGAACATAGATCGCGACTCTTGCACACAATATCAAATCTGCTGCTGCTGCTGCTGCTGCTGCTGCTGCTGCTGTTGGGTCTATTTTCGAAGACTGAAAAAACTGTTTTCATTTCTGTGTAATTTTCGAAATTCAATTGCCAAAGTTTTCGGCTTTTCCTTCTCCCTATTTCGCTCTCATTTATTTTGGTTAATATTTTTGTGTTGATTCTCGGACGTTGCGTTGTTGTGTTGTGTTGTGTTTTGTTTTCATTTTTCCTTCGATTTGTGTTTTATAATTAGACGCCGGCATTTTGGGCAAGGTCTTAGGGCCCAACGCTGACTGCTGTGTGGCACGGAACTGGGGCAACTTGTTGATGTTGCCACTGCTGCTGCTTGAGCTCTTGAGCTGTTGAGGTGTAAATGTATAAATAAACGTTTTGGTTCCTTTTGCTTTGATTTGTTTTGATTACTTACAGCAGAGTCCATCGATGCATTTCCTTGTTGCTTATTAAAATCGAGTGAAATTTCCTTCAGTTTGCAGAAAATTTTGCATATTATATCCCTACTCCTTCCACCGGTCGATAATCTTGTTGTTGCTTTGCTCGGTGCATTCCATCTTTGGCAGCAGCTGGCCGTGGCCTTTTTGTCGCTTCGACGACGCCATGTCCATGGCCACGTGGCTGGGCTATCCCCGCTGTGAATTCCGTGCGCTGCTACGGAAAAGGAAAATTTTGTTGTCTTTATTACTTTTTCAATTAGAGGGAACTGCTGATAAGCTCTCGCCAAAGAGCATACAAATGCACAGGAGTTTTGCTTTAGCTTTTCCCTTCGCTGCAATTTTGGCTTTGCCTTTGCATACTTTTGGGAAAAATGTGAATGACAAGCGGCAGAACGTATGAAATTACGGGACCACTTGACCAATTAAAGTGGATTATATGATGCCACAGAAATGCTCGTGCAGTTGACATTAACTGCGAAATAATGCAGTTCCAGGGAATGTCTGTATATGCCACTCAATCCTTTCTATCTCAATCTTTGCTCCTTGTGCTGACAGAATTTCTACTAAACTAAAGCCCCGTATATTTGTCTTTTTAATTGAAAAGTGAGCCAAGGCAAGTAAATGCTGAGCAGTGCCAAAGTGTGCAGACTCAGAGATGATGATCTGTGAGTTGGACGATTGCGTTGCCTTTTGGCCTTTGGCTCTCGTTGCTTTAATTAAACTTGAATCAAATCAAGCGTAAACTCAATGAAACTGCCATAAAATCGTGGAATCCCAGGAGCTCTCAGGTTTATTACAAAATCGCTGGCAAATTTATGCGAAAGCGATTAAAGGCGCATTAAATTCTATTTCTGATGGACAGACTCCCTCCCCCCTATTGCTTACTTTCCTACCAGACAGGATAATAATATAGCAACGTTTCGCCTAAAAGCATTCCGTGAACACTTCGAATCGACTTTAGCAGGCCATCCCAGCCGCGTGTGTGTCTGTCTTTACACGTATATTTTATGCGCTTAAAGGATTTTGATCCTAATGCTTACGGGCCCGTTTTATGCCGCTAATGTGCCATTTTGCAAATGGTCATAAAAATGCCATTAATGCCGTTTTGTATGGCAGCGTGTCAAATGGAAGCATCGATGGCCCTTCATTCATTTTCCTAGAGTCAGAAATTGGGCATTTTTCAATGGAAGCCTGGCTAGTTTATTGGCCACTGAATAGTTGAAAAGTATTTTACACCTGAGCACATTTAACTAAAGTTTCCTAAGAATATTTTACAGTTTATCTGCACAATTTATTAAGCCCATTTATTATCCTCTTTTCCTACTCATTGCCTTTCCTTTTTCCTACACTTGTAAGCGTTTAAGCTGTAATTTTCTTTCTTTACTGCGCCGCATCCGTTGCAACTGAATTTTGCTACTTTAACTACGTGAAAACAATTGCGTTAGTGTAAAAGTTTGCTTAAACTGCCATTAAAAGTTGGCACGATTATGAAAACCAACAAAATTGAGGGCTTTTTTCTTACACTCCTTACAGTTGCTGGCAATTTAGTTCCTGCAAGTACTGGGGCTGAAATAGAGTTTCTGGTAATTTATGGCGCTACATATTTCCGGCTACACGCTCGAAGCGACACTCTCCCGGCTAACAAATAATGGAGGCAGCAAAATAACGAAATGGACGCATAAAATTGGCAGCCAGCAAATTACAAATCAAGCCAATGGGACGCCAAAAGCAATTGCCCGCTAGACAGTTATGCGCTCAGTATTGGGTAGGGCCAATGGGCATGGCCCAAGTGAAAGTGGAGACTGGAGTGGCTGAGAAAACGGTGATTTTGAATTGAGTAATGGGTACAGCGTAGAATCTTGTAGATTGTATTTTATTATTGTAAGCGAAAGATCCTTGAGCTGCATACACAAGAAAAACATCAACTATACGCTCAACCAGTGAACTCAAATCTGTTGCTAAAGCTCACACAAGAAAGTTTCTCGTGACTGGGTCTCGTCTCACATTTCGCTGGCAAGTAAGTTTCCATTTGTTGAGCGAAAATATTTTGACAGTATTGCATGGTGCTGTACAATATGTTAACGGAACAGAGAACACAGGAACACAGAACACAGAGCACTCACCTGCTACCCAGTTGTGCTCTTGCCGACTTGCAGAAGTTTTTGTTTTCGGCCACTTTGATAGTGCAGTCACGCCATACAGCCCTTGAGGCAGTTTACGCTACGAAAACAAAGCACCAAACCGACAACAACAGGAACTTGCTCCAAATAAATGGAATAATTAGCCAGCGAAACAATGAACCGAAACACAACTCAACTCAAGGCAAGGCAAGGCAAGGCTGTGAGCAAAAGTTGTGAATGAAAAGGGCTGCAGCTGCAGCAGTAAGTATTTCTACAAAATTGGCAAACGTTTGTATCTATTTGCTTCTAGTTTTAAGTTGTTCTTCTCACTTTAAGCAAAGCTTTTCAATTGCACCCAATGGAATCACCAACGAGTGACCAGCAGAACGCAAGAGATAGAAACATATTGTGCGCAGTCCGGCACAAAACAAAAAAAAAAGAACGAGAGTGTTGCTGTGTTGCTGTGTTGATTGGATATTTGTGGGTGGGCCGTGGCAACGTGGGTGTTGGCCACTGACGAAGTGGCCATCCATTGATTTTCGCTCAATTGGCACCGTTGTCTATCGGCCCCCAGCCCACACAGAAAAACAGCTGCCGTGATGTGGCGAAAGCACACCAAAAATATTACATTGCCTGTTTTTTGTTGACCATAATTCATTTGGAGGAAATTTCGGCCGTCCCTTAGCTGGAGACAGCTTTCCATCAGCTGCTGCTGCTGCTGCTGCTGATCATCAATGTCCGGTGTGGCGTGGCGTGGGCGTTCTCGCCTATTATTATGTTATTTACATTTATTGTTGATTCATAACAAATTGCTAAGCATTGACTAACGAGCGCATATTGTGGCCGAAAGGTCAAAGGGCCGGATCCAATCGCAAGCACACTAATTATGTACAAGAATCCTTCCGCAAGGATTTCATTTTTCAAATGAAAACTGATTAGAGTTTGAGAATATGTTATTCCCTTCCGCTGAATTTTGCTTTAGCTGATCGAGCGTTAATTGGGAAAGAGCATTCAGTTGTCGCCTGCGCGGCACTTTCCTGCTGACACACAGATTTATGGGCTTCATATAAAGATATAAATCATGCTTGGGTAGCGTTCATTATGCCTGCTGCTGGAAGGAATCTGCTTTAAGGAGCCTTGGTCAGCGCCTTCTCCTGGCAGAAGACTCAAACGATGACCGACAAAATGTTATACGTTTTATGGTGCGGCCATGGGGCTTTCTGTAATAAATGGCATCGACACCAAAAGCCATACAAATTGCTAATTATAATTATTTTACTTTTATTTTGACTCACTTAAGGTGTGCGCAATTCATTTGTTATTTTTTGTCACTCCACCTTAATAATGTTGTCGGTAATAGTGGACAGGGAAAATGCCAAAAAAAAAACAAAGCACTGCAAGCATTTTGTGCGTGTGTTGGCGGTCACTCGACTGGAACAAATGAGAGAAAAGGAACAATAAAAGTGACCCAAAACTAGTGGCTCTTTGGGATACGAACTGTACGAACTGAATGCCAAAACAAATGGAACGCAGGAACACGAGTAATGTGTCTGTGGTTAGTCTGCAGTTTACTCATCCTCATCCAGCATGCCGCTCCTCACCTATCCACAGTTCCCTCTCCGGTATTACGCTTTCAAATTCAATTGAAGCTGCCTGCCCGAATTGTTTATTGCTTGGCCACTTTCGGTGCCGAATTTCATAGCATGCCAATTGATTGTGGGAGCGTGGGAGGGACACAATCAATTTTTCCAAATCGTTTGGCAGACAACACGCATTAAGCTGTCAAATGGACACACACAGCCATGGCTACGGCTACCATCAGTCATCATTCCGGATGATGCCAAATCAAATCAAGTCTTGAGTTTGGAGCTAAGCCAATGCGCATTACAATTGCTCGTTGACAACTATTGGGTAATGCTTTGACAAGTAACAAGTAACCCCCGAACAAATCCATTAAAGTGGCAAATCCTTTTGCTTAGTTTACTTGTCAGCAAAGTCACATTGATTAATGTCCTGATTAGCGTACGTACGTTTTCCCCACTTCTGGAAGCAAAGTTAGACGCATCAACGGCCTGTCATCGCCGTGCAGTACGTGAGCTCCCTGTTCCCATATCCTGGAGCCCCATTCATGTCAGCTTGTGTGGCACGGCTGCTCTTTGGCAGACTGGCAGACTGGCAGTTGCCATTAGTGTCTCAACACCTCGCTGCATGCCATCGAAGTCATACGTCCTTCGTGGCTGCTCTTTCTGTCAGCCCAATTGCGCTTGGCCTTACCTTCTGATCGAGTGCACTCAATTTCTTGCAACTGAAACTGAAACAGACCTCTGACTGGCAGACAGTGTACAATGTTCATCTCGAAGAAATTCACTCACGGCGGCGTCCTGCAATCTTCTGGCATACATAAATGTGCAAATATGCAGCAATTTTGTGCTTTTATTTGCATACAATTACCTGCCTAGAAGCTGCCTGGCACTCGTGCAGTGGCATACATTCCCATTAGTCATTCCTGCATGCCCCAAAAGCCTGCTGCATGTGCCACCCCCAGGACAGGAAAACGCGTTAAAAATATGCACAAATATTGAAAAGTGCATAAATGATGTAAAGATGTATGAATAAATAACTAAATTGTAGGGAAAACTTGATATCCTTTGCTTTGTTTGCATTGCAGATTTTAATTACATTTTTCTCATTTTAAATTTTCGTTAACTGTCATGTTGCCCCCAGCCAACTGATTGGGGGTTAACCTTTTGACAATCAGGCTCTGATCCTGAGCTGCATGTCCATCCTTCGATTCCAATTAAGTTGTCATTCTGCTCCTCGTGTGGGAGTGTGTCTCTGCAATAATCGTATATATTTCTGCCAACGAATGCTATCTGTGTGCGTCATTTGGCATTGACTTCTCTATGGCATTCGAGCTTTGGGTTAACATGTTCATTGACACTGACAATCGGGCATTCGGCCGGGGGATTTTGGCCCCAATAATAACTGAATTATCTCGAGTTATGTTCGAGCATGCCGAACTGTTGACACAAGTCGTTGACACTGCACAGAGTCTCATTCGATTTGAACTATTTAAGCGGCCCAAGACAATGGT